TTCACTACCGGAAGCACGTCTGTTTATGCAGGAGTACGCAGGTTCTAGCTGGCTTTTCGCCGAATGTGGCACATTGCAGAACTCCACATTGCACCTCAATCTCTACCCAGAGTTGTCGTTCCTTTTCAATCACACACACATTAAAGGGAGAGCAAGGACCGTAACTCTGCGTGGAGATTGATTGCACCTCTGTAATTTTAATTCAGCTTTTTTTAGCACAGTTTATGCACAGTTTCGTATTTATTTTCAGCGCATGCTCGAAAAAACTTTAACTTCCTATCGCGGTAAAGTCGAAGCGGTGCTGTATATAGGCCTGGTTTTCTGTTGTATTTTATTCATTTTTCACTAATTGTGTAGGATTTTATAGTATCAGCGACGTGCATAAAGGGTATTGGCAAGTACATTGATCTCTATTTTGCAATGTCATGTTATTAATCTGCTTCTGCGGTAACAGGAGGCCAACTGGACCCCCCCCCCACCTGTTTATTGTACTGAAAACGACTAACAAACTCTCATAGAGTTTATTTTAGTTTAAACATATTTTATTGTACAAATATACAGGGAATGGGGGGTTACTTAGAAAAGAAATCGTGTAAACTGTGAAAAGGATCCGCAATCCGATGAAGACGATAACTTGGGTATTACAAGAGGGATTGGGGGAGGGGATATGTATGTGTGAAGAGTGCAGAAAAGTAAGAGGTATGGTCGAGTGATAGAGAGAGTGCTATACAGATGGGGGACACAGGAACGTGGATCGGGGTGAATAAAGATGATAATAACCAACATTGATCTGTATGGAGATTCGCATTGGAAAAGACTTGAGAAAATAACACACAAAAAATAAAAAATAAATTTAAATAGGCATATGAAGCATGAGATATTAATGGCTATATTAACTACATGAGTATAGATGTAGCATCATTAATGATTTTTTTTTTTATTATATTACAGGTACATTACATCTTATAATAATGACCTCTGTTACACTATTTTTATGAATTTCATAACTAACAACATCTTCGCTAGCCAAGGGTTGATCCGGTACGATGTACCGGATCAACCCTTGGCTAGCGAAGATGAACCAACAAATAAGCAACTATTAAAAAAACAAACACAAAACAACAACAACAGTATGTACAGCTTGAGTATGCACACGAGAGCCTGCATGAATCAGTGTGCCCTCAGGCACTAACCTTGTCTGCCAGCACACACTAAATTATGTTTATTTAAAATCCCAACATCGACCACCTTTAATAAATAATACTTACATTATAGATGTCTTGGATGTAACTTAATTATGATATAGAAAATAAAGATAACAGTGCATTGGATCCAGACTTCTAGCACTGAAATATGTTGAGTTCTCAAATGAAATAATCAGATCTGAGAATTTGAAAATAGTTAACAAGTTCACTGGTTGAACAATGTTAAAATTTAAGGGTCCAAAATTAGTTGTCTCCCTCCAAAATTGGGATTGTCGGCGAGTATGGAAACTGGACTTTATGTATCCTTTAGATATACATTATACCTAATTCCTGTAGGAACTCTATCTAAAACAGTGATTTATATCGGTATAAATCTCCGATTTACATGTAGACTAAAAGAGTTCCTACAGGAATTGCATTATAGCATGCAGTTGAGCAGAAATTATGCATGTTTTGCATTCCCACCATATATAGTTTAGAGCAGGAAATGTGTTCATTTTTTTCAATAATGTCTTTACATGTAGAAAAGGACCCAATGTAATATGTGTTAGGTTCAGAATATCAGAGAACTGATCCAAATGATTTGATGTACATTATAGCAAAATGAAGTGCACTGGTAAAACTTTAGACTAATGGTATTGATCCAAACATGTTTAAACAATGATATTGAATGAAAAGTAATAGTTTATTATTTAGCCATTTTTTTTTTTTTACTTTTGGCCTACCCTTTGGGTACCTTACTTTCTGAAACCATCTAATTTCAATTTCATCATAATTATTCCAACCAAGTTTTAATTATTTCCTGCTAAATGTGGACAAATTGTACCTAAAAGTGTTCTTTCCTTTATACTTGTTTAAGCAATAGTAAACTGTACTCTCCCTAAGAGAAAAATAGAATAAAAATAACAATTCAGATAAAGCAGATAGGGGCCTTTTCATCCATGTGGAGAATAAGATTCTAATACATCCTAGTGCAAGAAAAAAGACTTGAAGTTTTAGCCAATTTTCCATTTTTGGGCCCCAGCCCTCCAGCTTCAGGAGGGAGGCAGGATCCTATTTTCTCATAACAACTACTGGTAATTGCCATCTCATCATAATTTTTCCTACTACATTTGAATTATTTCCTGCTTAAAATTGACAAAATATACAAAAAAAGTGCTATTTTCCTGTATAAAGTCTAGTAAACTTTACCTCAGCTTCCCAAAGGGAGAACTGATGACCAGGAGTAAATAAATTTACAATTCAGATAAATCAACTTAAAGGACCTTTTCATTCATGAAGTACTTTTGATTCTGGTACATCCGAGGAAGAGGCGTTTTGAAATTTTAGTCAATTTTCCCCCTTTGAACCCTGTCCCTCGACCCCAAGGGGCAAGGTAGGATCTTATTTCCTTATATCGCTGTCATCATTAATAATCAAACCAAGTTTGAATTATTTCCTGAAATTTACAATTTAGACAAAGCACCTAAGCATCTTTCATTCACAAAAGAGTGTTGATTCTAGTACATCTGAATCTGGAGAAGAAGATTTCTGAAGCATTGTTCACCTCAGGGAATGGGGCAGGAATGCCAAATTTACAATTTGATAACCTCTTCCACCAATGATGATTCTTAGTAAGTTTGAAAGAAATGCATGAATTCACTGCTTCCTAAGAAGAATGAAAAAAAAAATAAGTTTGGAAGAAAAGTGTTTAGGTCACTTGAGCCTTTGTTCCTGTATACTGTATGGTAAATATTCCTCCATCAATACTTGAATATTTTAATTACCATATAAAGAAATAAGAATATCACTAAAACTGATGGATTGTGCTCCCAAAAAAAGGAATTTGGGACTGGAATAAAGGTTGCATGATACATGTATCTTTACCTGAAATTTATCATGCCTGGCACTATTATTAGTATCTCAGTTTACGTACGTAACTGTGTAAAGTGAATGAACAACCAAAGAGGTATGCAACATAGCTTGTCTTTCTTCTGTACATCACTTATATTGAGTTATCTTCATCAAATCAGAAGTGCCCTGAAAAAGAATTTGACCTATGACCTTAATGTGACCTTGACCTCCAGGCATAGGGACCAAATAGTGGTATGTAACATATATATTGCCTTACCATCCCACATACATATATATCACTAAAATTTCATTGCTGAGACTCTCCAGCAAGTCAGAAGTTATGGTCCTTTTTATAGCTCGGGGAGCATAAAGAGACAATAGTCCCAAATAATCCTATAAAGTATCAATAGATAAAACAACAGACTTCTGATTAATGTCACATAATTTATTGGTTGCTACATTTACAATGAAAGAGTGAATATTGAAGTAATCATCAAATAATGACATCATAATCACTTTAGACAGCATCTATGCACATTGGTGACTTTCCTCTGTGTTGTAAATTCCCCAGCCTGCAAAATACAAGATTTAATACATAATAGAAATAAATTGTATGAAGTTTGTAGATCAATACATAATTATAAAGATAATTCTAATGTTGGCAGTGCCCTTACAGCTACAGAATTTTAATAACTACAAGTCTGGTTTCATATACAGCTGACAGAACAATCATGTACATATTCAACTCTAGTATATGTATATGCAGTTAAATAGATTGTAATATTCTCCTAAATCATACTAATAACTATAATGGCTATAAATCTGTATCAAATGAAAGTTTTGAAATGCCACTGTTAAAGCTTAGATAGGAATACACTTGATTTGATTACAAGGAGTAAAAAACATACAACTATTATGATACCTATGCTAGCTATAGGTAAATTTCACTCCAAATAAAACTGATGGTGAATGCATGTATGTCAAATTGTACATAGAACTTGAAAGTTGTATTAAGACATTCTCTCAACACAATAACATCAACACTACAACATATGATAAACCATCAATGCATCTGCATCAAATTTTGATGATCATATAGCATATAACAATCCAAATCAATAATGAGTTATAAGTGTATCATACTGTCAAAGTCAGGTATTACATATGTGTTACTATTGCTGTACAGACAACTATGTATACACATATGTACTTTCACAAACAGTTATTATACACATACATACTAGCGCTACCACACACAGTTAGTATACACATACATATCACACACAGTTATTATACACATACATACTATCACAGTTATTATACACATACATTTATCACACACAGGTAACACACATACTATCACACACAGGTATTACACACATACTATCACACACAGTTATTATACTCATACATATAATCACAGACAATTATAACACATACTATCACTATCACACATGTACACACTATCACAGACAGGAATTTCACATATCTATACTATGATATCACACACATATATCACACATGTATATACTATCACTGACAGGGAATTCACATGTAAAATAATCACAGCTATTATAATACATGTACACTGACTATATATTTTCACAGACAGTTATTATATATACATGTACACACAATCACATACAGGTATGACTCATGTATATACAATCAAAGACAGGTATTACACATGTATACACTATCACAGACAGCGAGATATTGCACATGTACATATGATCACAGACAGGAATAACACGTGGCAATTAGTATAACAGATGGGTATTACACATATACACACTATCACAGACAGGTATTACACATGTATATATATATATACAATCACAGACATGTTAACACATGTACAGTACATACTATCACACTTTTATACATGTTCTCTTATTTCTTTACACACCTCATTTAACTTAATAATCTTAGTAATAACATTATTCCTTCTCTTGTCAAGAGATATAGGATATATAATATATACATGTACTATGAATGAAAACAAGTCATCCAGAAGGCATGAGCAATCATTGCAAAATTCTTTCATCAATAGTTCTATTAAAGCTATTTTTAGCTTTGCTTCTCAGTAGCAAATTGGGGCTACACCTTTCATTATTTATTTACCTGGTCTGATGGTACAATGTGAGTTTATGCCTAGTGTCTTAACTTCAATATATTTTTTAATGAGGATATTTCACTACATTTTATTAAAAGTGAGTGAAACAGGCCCTCTTGGTCTCTTGCATAACATCTAAAACTCCCAGGTCTAATGATGCATACTTCATAGTACATTTGGTTGAAATACAAGAGTGAACTTGACTTACTGTCAAGGTGACAGATGTCAAATAGGTAAACAAATTCAAATGACTTCTGAAGAAATGAAATTCCTAAAATCATGATATTTGGCTGTTTGAGCTCCCTTGGATAGAGCTTGACAAAGTTTGCTTACAAAAATTACCTTCAGTTATTAGCTCACCTGTTCTTCTGAAGAACGGACAGGCCTAGAGTCATGATATTTGGCTGAAAGCTTTGTTGGTAGGAGCCCTACAAAGTTTGAGAACGAAAATGACTTGACTTACTTTAAAGGTCACAGGGGTCAAATATGTCAAAAACTTCAAACAACTTCTTCTGAAGAACTAAAAGGTATAGAATCTTCATATTTGGCTGATGGCTTCCTGGGATGGAGCTTAACAAAGTTTGAGAATGAAAATGACTTTGACCTACTTTCAAGGTCACAGGGGTCAAATGTGTCAAACACTTCAAATGACTTCTTCTGAAGAACTAAAAGGTACAGAATCTTCATATTTAGCTGATTGGTTCCTGGGATGGAGCCCAACAAAGTTTGAGAACGAAATATACCTTGACCCACTTTCAAGC